CAATCTCATGTTAAACTTTATACAAATGACTTTTTTTTAAATAAGCATGTTAAAAGAAAACACTGTACATCATGCCTGTATTTTCTTCTTTCAAAAGCATCGCACGGTTCTCTTGACCTGCACTTGTCTCGTGCAGGATCAGATATACAGCATCAAATAAAAATCTGAACCCTTGTGTACATTAAACTGTAATATGAGGCATGTGTTATTGGGTGTAAAATTGCTGGAAAGAATAGGCCAATGCTTGTTTTATAAGGCGAGCAATGTGCTGTTCAGGGCAACTGGGTTGCCCAGTTATGAGTGTTAATGGTAAAACTTACTTACCCCTTACCCTTTTTGAATAGTAAATATTAAGCAGAAAAAAAAATTCAACATTGATAAGCAGCAAATAAGCATATTATAATGATTTCTGAAAGATCATGCAAAAAATCAGCCATCAGAGAAATAAATTTCATTTTGAAATATTTTCAAATAGAAATTAGTGCTTTTAAATTGCAATAATCTCACAATATTACTTTTTGTACTTATTTTTGATTAAATAAATGCAAAGCATTTGTGCACTGAAGGTATAAAGGTTTCAATAATTCAATTCTAAGGATTCAGCTAAGATAGCATCAAAATAACACATTTTACATTGAACACAAAATATGATTTTGTCTTCAGATTTTAGATGGGGTTTCAAGGCACAAACAAACTCCCTGAGCTTTAGCGAAAAACAAGCAAATAAATGTTCTCTCCAACAACTAAAAAAAAAAATCTCACAAAATGGACATTCCTGAATACTTTTTCTACTTTAAAATGCTATACACAAATGGCATATTTATTTCCCACCAAAACCAAATTGCACACACAAGATTGTGGCATATCACTAGTTAGAAGCCTTGTTAGCAAACTTCAAAGAGCTGGAGCTGATGACTGGTGACATGGTCAGATTTAGTTATCTGTTGTGCCATGGCCGACTGTATGAGGAAGAGCTTGTGCACTTGTGTGACACATTTACAGACACGCATTTTACTGGGTGTTTTTTCCATTTTTTCCATTCCAGACATTCCAGCTAGCACTTTGCGTCGGGTGGTTGGCCTCCACATCGTGCATTACAATCGTTTAATGCGCAGCTAGCCATGCATTATCCCTTATATGTGTTTATTTATTTACTGCATTGAACATTTTATATAAAGGGCTTTGCTATTTGAGAGATTTAAAGGTAAATGATCCCCACTTGACATACATTAAAGGGGTCATATGATGTTATAAAACATTATTTGGTGTAATGAAATGTTTATGCGGTTTAAGGTTCAAAAACCACATTATATCCCACATACTGTACATTATTGTTTCTCCTCTATGCCCCACCTTTCTGAAACGCGTTGATTTTTACAAAGCTTATCGGTCTGAAAAGCGAGGTGTGCTCTGATTGGCCAGCTATCCAGTGCGTTGTGATTGGCCGAATACCTCAAGCGTGTGACGGAAATGTTTCACCCCTTACCATACTGTGATGCCATGTCCCGGAACGATGAGACAAAAACATTAAAACCCATTATAAACGAGGCAATTCTTGCATCCAGTGGGGACATAATTACGGATTATAATGACTTATACTGTCTTTTTTTACGTGTTGTGTTGCATTGCGCCGCGTAAACATAAAACCATGTCTGCATTTGTGATCAGAGAAATGACAAACAACAAGCGCTACTCTACACTGCTCAAAACTCGCGTTTGAATCGTCAGTGGCAAATTCTTTAAATATGAAAACGTACTTACAGACTGAGTCAGAACAGCCGGCATTGTAGTCTACTCTCCCAGGATCAGGAAACAGTCCTCCATAAAGTGCGCTGCACACATCTTAATATTTGGGTTGAAGCGTTTTGGAACAGTGTTGTAAATACAGCTTAACCACTGATTTCTAGTCGTGTCCTCTTTTGGAAGACCAAAGTATTTTCGCTTTCGCAACGAAACACACAGCGTCTTCACAACATGGCGGTGGCAGCAACAATAAAGTTACGCCTTCTTTCTTTGTGTGAACATTTGGGCGGTGTTATGCAAATCTTCCCACACAGTGACGTAGACATGTGGGGGGGTGTTTAAACGAGGCGTTTTAGGAGAGCGAGAACCAGTCTTAACTCTTATAAAGAATATCTCTTTGGGTTTGAGACTTTAGTCTTTGCAACTTTAGGGATCTTATCTATTCACGAACAGCAGGAAAAACTTGAAATCGCATCATATGACCCCTTTAATGATCTGCTGCTCCTCTAAAAATGGCATATGACGACACTGGTAATCAAAAAATAAAATTTCTAAGGTGTTGCAATCCTGTTTAGTCTCTTTCCAGTTTTCAGGGAATTAAACATCTGTGATTAATGTGCATCCCTGTCTAGTATGTGTACACAATACCGGTTGCAGGTTATTGCACATGTGACATTCGCATTGTTATTTCATTTGATAATGAGAGTTATGCTAGATTTGATTGAGGTAATATTTGATGATGGAAACATCCTGTCATTCTCAGACAATGTGTAATGTCTACACACAATCAAAGAACAAAAAGACTTCAGTTCCTCATGTCATAACAGTAAACTCCACCAAGAAACAACATTACAGCATCTGGATACAGAATGTTTCATGATAAGGCAACAGCTAAGACAAGAACAATCCTGTTATTATGTTTATTTTTCATGTATGCACAGATCCCATCTAAGGACCTCACTTTTTATATTTCAGATATATTTCATCTATATTCACTCTCTGCCCTGTCACGCTTATCAACTAAGAAAATGCTGTTAGACTAATAAATCAACTTCTAAACCACCCTGGTGAAGATTAAGCATGAAAATATAACAAAACTGTATAGAAACTTAGACCAACATAAAAATGAAAACTTCTGTGGACAAGTTGAGTTCGTAAAACAACCTAAAGCAATGTTTTACATACTTCAACAGCGGATGATTGACATAATATTATAAACCAATAAATAATGCTCTCTGAAATTATGATTGGGTTTAATCTTTCCATCGCTTCAACTGAATTTAATCTGCCACTTAATCTGTTAATAATAATAATAAACATGGGTTTCACGCAGTTGCAATTGTTTAACAATTAGCTTGATTCACACTAAAAATGTGGCCGCTCTGATTGGATACTGTACTTCTCAAATTAATTATTTTTTAATTTTAGGAATGACAAGTGTCAACAGTAATTTTATCTGACAAATCATCTTTAAAGTCAAAAGACTTTGTAAATATCTTACTGTTGATGAGAAACATATTTTAGAGTAACAGGAACTTTCTGAGCATGAATTATTTGCACCTGAATAAAATAAACTTAAAAGCTGTTTGTCTTCTTTCTTTAGGCAACATAAAAGGAAACCAACACTTCTGAGACCCAAAAACAAGATTTCACTCAAGATAAACTGAAACCTGAGATCCTGGATCAACTTCCTTGTTTTATAATGACTGGGTTCACAAAAGTGCTGTGATTCTTTTGAAAAGAGAGGTATAATTCATTCTTATTTTAAGACAAAAACCATGTTGTTATTGTTGTTGTTGTTTTTGTTTTTTGAATTAGCTAATTTATTTCTGGGACAGAATTAAACTTTAACAAATACATTTGCAATTCAATACAGCTTTAAAAAAAATTCATTTTTTGGCGCATTGACCTTTTGTATGTAAACCAGTCTCCTGTTCTGGCATTTTACTGGACACTGCTTCCTTACACAGGGATTGGACAAAATAATGTGAATACCTAGGAAATAGGTAATATTTCCTTCCTCGCATAACAACTTCCTCACTTCTTAGAATAGAGTCATACAACTTTTGAATCCAGTAGAATGTTTATTAAAATAAGTTTTAGTAATTTCTTTTTTGTTTGTTTTGTCCTTTTTTGTTAGTTGTACATTTATAGCCTATGTCTATTTATTTTTTCAGTATTTTTTGTACATTTAATTTATCTATAAATGTATTTTAGTTTTAGGTATTTTAGTACATCAATATAAACTCTGGGATAATGAATGTTTCATTCATGTCACTATATTTTTATACAATTAATTAATTGTAATAAATTGTTTTAAATTTATAATTAAAAATCAATCACTTCAAGCAGGTTCAACTTGACTGATAATGGAGGTTTTAAAGTCTGATTATACAGTATGCTCAATTATAATGATAATTAACTGCAGAATGCATCTCTCATTTATATTGTGCCTGAATTTTGTTGGTTATAATGAGAGGATTCAACATTTTAACAGTTTGTAGACCATAGCAACCACAGGCTACTAATATTTAATACAATATATGACTATAGCCTATTGATAATATTCAATACCAAATTAATGTCTTGTTCGTGAATGGCAAAAATTCTTGTCTTCTTCCTCGTGCTGATAAAAAAGTCATATGTGTTTCAAGCAATTCAATCAGGGAGACATAGCCTACTGCAAGGATATGCAGTTTGTGAACCAATTCTGTGGCGAACTGAAACGCTTTTCATTGGATTCTCGACTGCTCAGAACTCGCGGTTTGAATGACCATCAATGCAACAATAATAAGGGGCCGGAACGATATCGTTGGAATCACTTTCAAAACGATTTTTTTCTCAGCTGATGAACGATAAAACACTGACAGCCAATCAGAATCCATCCTGCTGTAATGAGCTCAAGAATTAAAGCGGCAGACGAGCGGGCGCTTAGAATAAACAGAAGATATCGTTCGCTGGTGTGGATGCTAATATCGTTATCTTTATAGTTATCTTTATAGTTATCGTTCTTGGTGTGAACGGGGCTTTAGAGGCGCGTTTTTTTTAAGTTGAACTTCTTTTAACTTGAGCACCGCATTTTTAGAACGCCACATTCGCGCGAGGCTTCAAAGAACGCTCACGCAACTTTTAGACATGTCAGTCCAGTGCGTTTACACAGAAAAACAATGGCATTATGTATGAGCCAGCCCTAACTCAACTGCACAATTGATCAGGAAAATCCCTCTAGAAATGATAATTTTCGGGAAGGATGATGCATGTGCCGTAATGAAACCCCACGAGACCAGCAGCAGGTAACCGGCGTTACCAGAGGGAGGGAGTCGCATAAACCCCTCCTTACTGCTAAACCGCAAATAAAATACAGGTTACGTTACTCCAGTCCCATCAGCAGACTCATTACTTGGTCTAATAAACCAAGCTTTGACACCGCACCAGTATGTTGTAGATTCTATGAAATATACAAGGATACTTCCATAGCAGGTAAGTCCGTTTCTGCGGGCTGCTGAGGAGTTTTATGAAGGAATTAGTTTTATGAGTAACTTAAAGGGGTCATATGATGCAATTTCAAGTTTTCCTTTCTTTGTACATAGATAAGATCCCTGAAGTTGCAAAGACTAAAGTCTCAAAACCAAAGAGATATACTTTATCAAAGTTAAGACTCTGCCACGCCCCCCTAAAACAGCTCATTCTAACACGCCCCCACATATCTACCTCACTATGTGGAAATATTAGCATAATGCCGCCAAAATGTGCACAGCAAAGAAAGAAGGCGTGGTTTCAGTAACCGCAGTTAATGTTGAAGCAGCCATGTCAGGGAGACGCTGTGTGTTTCTAGGCGAAAGCAAAAGCACTTTATTTGGCCTTCCGGAAGTAGATGCATTTAGGAATCTTTAAGATTACTTACAACAGAACAGCAATTCATTTTATAATAAAAATATACAGCTTTCAGGCATACAATTAACAGAATTGTAATGTTAAACCAGATGTTTAATGCCAACATAGAAAAACGCTGTTAGAGAACACAAGCATGTGAAATGACTTTCACTAAAAACCTCATAGTTACGGAGATAAAGACCTTTTGACAACTAGCTCTAGTCTCTATTCTTCATTCATAATTCATTTTATTTTTATAATTACCTCTTGAAATGGTTCACTACTATAAACACTTTTACGAGAGTGGATATTATACTTAATTCTGATGCTAAATTAATTAATATTGTCATACAGGAGTTACAAATTGTACCAAATGCCGGCAACTACACAGAGGTGGTGGATCAGTTATTTCCTCTCTTCCCTGATAAAAAGCACTACTCAGACACCGGTCCAGATCGCTGCAGAACCTGTGCTGTGGTGGGAAACTCTGGGAACCTGCTGGGGTCCAATTATGGTCCTCTCATAGATTTCCATGACTTTGTCATGAGGTAGTAAATTAGATTATATTGGCATGTATTTAGTTGCTTGTAAGGTTGTCTTTCACTCTTTAAGTTAACGAGAGTTTAGAGAATAATGAAGCATCAGTGTTGATGGAATGGATATCTTGTGCATTTATCAACTGAGGCTGTGGTTGAATTCCTTGAGTCATGAGATCACATTAGATCAGGTGATTCCAGATTTGTGATTTCAAA